GCCCGATCGGCCCGCCCGGCTTCCCTGGTATACCGGGCACCAAAGGTGAGCCGCGTCCCCTAGCCGGTCACAGAGCACCGGATCACCGAACCACATCCGACGTCGGCGCCGACGAGGTGCGGGCCTCGGTCACCGAGCCGGGGTCGATGCGTGACTCTATGTGCTACCTGGGGACCATTCGGATGCCCAGCACTGGACCGTGGAAGGGCTTTGATGAGCTTTGGTCTCTTTAGCAGCGACTTAGCGCGCTGGCAACTTTGTAATTTATCACTTTCTCCGCTGGACGGGTTATGGAATGCAATGCGGTTAATCAGAAGGGAATGTGACAGCTTGCTGCGCAGCCGAGCTAATAACATATTATGGTAGCTAACAAAATTAGGTCGTTTCCTCAGCCTCGGCGTGAATCGGAACTCTTCACGCTCACGCTTCGAGTGTGTACGTGTCTGTCATACTTTCGCCACGATCAGTGTTAATGTGTCTGTGATACTTTTGCTATGATCATTGTTTATGTGTATGTCATGCTGCCGCCACGACCAGTGTTTATGTGTCTGTCATGCTTTCGCCACGATCAGTGTTGATGTGTCCGTCATACTGTCGTCACGATCAGAGTTTATGTGTCTGTCATACCTTCGCCACGATCAGTGTTAATGTGTCTGTCATACTGTCGCCACGATCAGTGTTTATGTGTCTGTCATACTGTCGCCACGATCAGAGTTTATATGTCTGTCATACCTTCGCCACGATCAGTGTTAATGTGTCTGTCATACTGTCACCACGATCAGAGTTTATGTGTCTGTCATACTGTCGCCACGATCAGAGTTAATGTGTCTGTCATACTGTCGCTATGATCAGAGTCCGGTTCACACTGTCGGTCCAAGTCTTGACGCCAGCGGAATATCACATTCGAGGAACAGCCCACCCTACTACCGGGGATCAACTTCGTACGGATATTCTAGGCCCGCGAGCCGCCACCATTTCCACGAGCACAGCTGAGCTGACGTGATGAGGGCAGGCTGATGCCACCGAACCATCGCTTTGCACGGTCTCTGGCCACCTGACAACGGTGCTGTGTCCCGGCGCACAGCCTAACACCCGCACCACCGCCATGAACAGCGGTGCTGTGTCTGAACCCACGCGACGGGGGTGCTATTTCTGTACACCCCTCGCAAAGAGTCGGAGCTGAGGTGCTCTTCTTGTGAGGACGGAAAAAACGCTCGCTGACCATCAGCCTCCGTCAGCAAGTCAGGTGGCTGTTAAAACAAGCTCCGAACGATGTACGCATTATGAAGTAAAGCAATGCTTACGACGAAATTGGCTGTTCATGCTCAGAATTTCTGGTGGTTGGTGATGTTACGCGAAAGAAACAAGTGCCGTATACCAATCCATGTCGCCCACCGGCTTGTCTTCAGCGGCCCGTCGTGCACATGCGAGTCCTGCATATCTGCAGTTTATTGACCTAACTCATCGCACGTCTGGAGTCGGACATCTTCCGCCCTGCTGCAGCATAAACAACCCACAAGCTCCCTACTGAGCCCAGTCGGACGGGCGGCGTTCAGATTTACCGGGCCCGATAAACACGCGCACCTGTATCGGACGGCCGCCCATTGTGCGTGGTCGCTGGCGACGCCGCGCGAGCCTCGAGCCACGCACGCGGCGCGAAGAAGCGGCCACTTTCGGAGGTTTGTTTGAGGTTCACGCAAATGATGTCGTAAACTGTCGGAAGTTCGCAAAGCTAGGGTGTTGATTCTGAACTAGACCGGCTTGTTAACATTTGACCTAGTGAAAGCATACGTGGAAAGGTTTCTCACGTAATGAAAACTGTGATCACTTTGACTTTACCACTCGATGAAGCATAGCCTGCGCTGGCCGCAAGACCTTACCAGCAGGACATCCAAAAAGCTGCGAAATGCCGGGAGGCAAATCAAACTTTTGAGCGAGGCCAAGTGCCTTGTGATGCCATAAATGCCCCCGCCCCCCCCAAAAAAAAAATGTCATACGCATGCCTCACATCCGACAAGGGACGGAACATTTCAGCCACTGGAACTTTAAAACATTCAATTTCTTATTGCATTGTTGCCCGCCAGAAGAAGCCTACAGCCATGCGCCAACGAGAGCTTTTCACCCCCATTCAAATCCGAAGGACACAAATATCGACCTTCTGCTTTGATTCTCTCCGTAACGTTGCGAACTAGAACGCCGTCATAACGAAAGTATTACTAAATGGGCTTGCCTTCCAGCTTGCCTTCTAGCTTGCCTTCCGTCCAGGCCTTTTCTACGGCCAAAACTGTCGGTAAAATTTCTGCGGTGTGAAGAGAAAACTCCAGACATAAAAACATTGAATATATATATATATATATATATATATATATATATATATATATATATATATATATATATATCAGAGGAACTGGTTTACCATGGCATGGTTAAGTTGGACGTCTTTGCCGTCCAGTCATATTGCGACCTCAAAGTATCCACTTCAGGCAGCTGGATTTGGTTTAGACATTTCTCGTTATGAAATTGATCCACGCGTGATGTTATGTTCATTGTACATACTTACAATGGACATAACATCATTATCATTATCAATATCACGCATCCGCCGCACGTTGACGTTTAAGACGGGATAATAAAGGGTCGTCTCGGAGAAAATAACCCGTTTATATTCCACAATAACCCCCGGGCCGGTTGATAACTTCCTATCGCTACGCTGACGACACACCATCAACTGACATTCGCACATTCGTCTGACGTCCTAACCCTGCGCGCACCACCCATCTCTCCCGCCTGCGATCTCTATATCGGCCACTGGAGCAACACATGCGTCACGCTCTGGGCGTGCGCGCGGCCGCCCCGGCGCCGCCGCCGGCCGCGCCTCTGGACCGATCCGTGCCGGGCCCGCGGCTGGCAGCTCGGTCGGAGTGACACGGCCGCCTGGCGACCTCGGAGTGTGACCTTGGAGTGTGACCTGGCGTGCCTGAGGGCCGGGCCAGAGAGCGAGGTCGCGACCCTCCCCGCTCCAGGCGGCGGTAAACACGCGAGTCGCGCCAAGACGCTGAGTCAGAATTGGTCTCGGACAGGAGTTGGACGGACGGCTGCTGCGTCAAAACCTGTGAGGGACGCCGGGTGCGATGCTGGCGGAGTGGCAGCGATAGCTTTGATCACAGCCCACCCAGCGCCTCTGAGCTCAGGACTGTTGAAATCCTACATCCGTCCCTAGACCGCCCTCTGCCAAATTATCGTGAGGCAGCAAGTGGGATCACACGCGGAAGATTTATTTACGCAGGCCTGTAGGCAATAGGCAAGCTCTAGATCCGGCCCGATTTTGTCTGATTCAAGTTATTTTTGCCATCACACCGGAGGCAAGCGGATGAGTTCGTGCAGTCGTGGTCTGGCCGGACGCGACCGGTTATTCAGTCTCGCGATGCACCCAAAGTCCAAGCCACCCCCGAACGTCACTTCATCCTCGACGTCCTGTCACCACCTGCACGCGCTCGCAGCCGGTGTTGAGAACGGGATCGCGCCGAGCCCAGCTCTGCCCGGTAGCCGGGGGAGGCGGGCCGCGCCGCCGCCAGCCGGTGGCCGCCGGCTCCTCAGACGCCGCCGTAAATATTTGGCCGCCGGCGACACCGGAACCGGCGCGCTGTTTACGCCAGCGGCAAACAATCACGCCGATCGGCCGTCGGCGGCGGCAGCGACGGCGGCGGAGCAATCCCGACGGCATCGACGGCGGCGGCGGCGGCGGAGTGGTCCCGACGACATCGACAGTGGCGGCGGCAGCGGCGGACCGATCCCGACGGCATCGACGACGGCGGCGGCGGCGGCAGCGGACCGATCCCGACGGCATCGACGGCATCGACGGCGGCGGCGGCGGCGGCGGAGCGGTCCCGACGGCATCGACGGCGGCGGTGGCGGCGGCGGAATGCCTGGCGCGCGCTGATGGGGCGGCGGTGGCAGCGGAGGCGGAGGCGGCCGCGTCACCGCCGGCAGCGTAGTTGGCCGCCTCGCCTGGGGCGAACGAAGCGAGTCATGGTTAGAAAGGCCGGCCGGGAGATTCGCAGTTTCGGGCGTCGTGCGGGTGTCTTGTTGAACTTGCGCCCATTTGTTGGGACCTGCAAGTGGGCGCGTGGCGGTTGAGATGAAATTGTAACCGACCTGCTTTGGGGCTTATCACACGCAGCTGAAGTTATAATCACAACACTGAAACCTTAACATCAATATTGATCTGCCTCGCTTAACACCAATTTGGTGTTGCAGAATATTACGCCCATCTGTATCCATGCGCTGTCAAGCGCAAATGTTTTGCGACGTGCATTTTTTATCGCCCACCCTGCCCTCAAATCTTGATGCGCCGTCGCGTTGAGTCTTGATCTATTTGTCGTGGAATTGTCGTAAATTTGACCTCGTCACCCCTTCTGTACAGCGCGTTCTTGCATGGGGCAGCGTACGTTCTACCAGCATTTCTGCCTTTTATCTGCTTACTTGCGTTACTTGTATGAAATAGCTTCTCGCGCCTCGACATCGGTGCAGACTCATGCCCACTATTCAAATCACCGCTGACAAAGAAATTAATATTTTATGTGCGTGTTTGCCAGATTTGTTGACATTTGTTTTACCAGGTACTGCTATTTCTTCTGTTTATTGGCATACAGGGCTACAGTCTCTGCCCACCGCTGCATCTTTCCCGCAGCTCTGCCCCTGTCTCTACCCAGCGTACTCGCCGGCTGACGGTTGTCTTCGGTCGCCATGTCAGAAGGGCGAGGGCGCCCTGCCGCTGCCCCTGCCCCTCTGCCCGGCGTACTCGCCGGCTGACGGTTGTCCTCCGTCGCCAGGTCAGAAGGGCGAGGGCGCCCTGCCGCTGCCCCTGCCCCTCTGCCCGGCGTACTCGCCGACTGACGGTTGTCCTCCGTCGCCAGGTCAGAAGGGCGAGGGCGCCCTGCCGCTGCCCCTGCCCCTCTGCCCGGCGTACTCGCCGACTGACGGCTGTCCTCCGTCGCCAGGTCAGAAGGGCGAGGGCGCCCTGCCGCTGCCCTTCAGCCGCGGCCAGAAGGGCGAGCCCGGCCGGGACGGCACGCGAGGCGTACCTGGCCAGCCGGGTCCCATCGGCCCGTTCGGCGACAAGGGCGAGGTTGGCCCGCGCGGACCCGCGGTAAGCACAGTGACCTGGGCCCGACCCGACCCGACCCGACCCGACCCGACCCGTGCGCTCGGGAGACGTCGGCGGAGCTAGGAACAGTGTGTCGCTGCGGACGTGGCTGGAGTCGGCGGTGTAAGGACTCGATGTGTGCCAGGGATATGCGAGAATAAGGTAAAGCGACTCGTTTAAAATGTATGCCAGGTCTGACGTGCATACTTTGCCCATCCTGCACCGCAGATACAGTCACAGTCAATCAAGTTCAGTCATAGAGTTCAACGAGTTCAGGGCAATGATTTCAACAGTATCGGGTTCAGTCACAGGACAATGGTTTTATATGAAATAGGGCGCAAATGTGATGAAAAAACAAATATGATGTCCACAAATTTCATAAGCTACCAATTAGTAATCTTTAGTTGTGGTGTGCTTCGTTCTTTCCGACTAGTTACCCACTATTGCGACCCTCACTCACATTGCAATTGCTCGTAAACAAAGTGCTCGTAACAAACGCCATTTCCGGCCGGGACATTCCAAAGAACAAGAACGTTAAATAGCTGCGTTCAATGTAAATCCCACTCAAGGCCTGTGCCATTACTGCTGACGGCCTGTTAAACGACGCCTAGAGTCAGCCCCCCCCCCCCCGCCCCCCCCCCCCCCCCAACCGCAGCTAGTGCAAAATGGTTAAGGGAGGCTGCAAACCATGGCTCCTGAAGAACAAGGAACGACCAGGACAACATTCGTGGGTTGTTCGCGTCCGCCCCCGCCAGCCACATCACGTCATCCGTCCAACGGCCTCCCGGCGTGCGGTCCACACATTACAGACGCTCCATCGCGCTGCCCTCAGGCTCCCGGCTGTCGTCCGTCTCCGGACGAGCGTCTGTTTATCCCGGCCGCAACACTTGTGCAACGCCGCCTACCCAAATACACAGCGGTCCGGCGGCGCCGCCCCCGCCCGCATGTGGGCCGCAGCGGCCGGAGGGCCACGCCCGCCGCCCCCTCCGCCCCCTTCCTCCCCCGCCAGCTCTCTGACGTCAGCCACGGCGGATCTCTGCGGCGCCGCCAGGCCGGGGACGTGCCGGAGACGCGCCGGGACGTGCTGGGGCGTGCTGGGACGTGGCGGGGACGTGGCGGGGACGTGCCGGGGCGTGGCAGGGACGCGGCAGATGCAGGCCCAGATTCATGGTGTGGATGCGAGGGAACGCTGCAAAAGTGTTAGGTGAACGATGATTGGAGCCATTTTGGTCGGTCAAACGTGTAACTGGTGCACCGGTACTTTGTCGGGTGGTACACGAATCTTGCGTGAAATGGGCAAGGGGCTGTCCCGGCACATTTTGTTTCAGTACCTCTTTACGTACCACACTAATTGACCCTGCTCCACGTGCGTCTGAAGGCAGTTCACTGCTGCCGCTCCGTTCGCACCCAATAGGGATCGGTTGCAACCGCCAGGGTCGGAGGAGAAACCCGATCCCGTGGCTACCGTCCGTGGCTTGCGACCTTACAGCGGTGCGAGGTGGAGAGTTCTGAGGCGCCACGCTCGTGTGCTGTGCAAGTCGACAGCGCGTCACTGGAGAGGGGCTGGGAGTAGGCGCGCAACGCGACAAGGCAGTGGAGGATATTCCCCATCTGTTCTCCCTAGTACCGTCATCACCACCCGTCGCATGAGTTTCGGCTCTCCTCTCTCCCAGAGCTCTCTGTGACGTTGCCGTTTCCGAATGCTTCCATGTGTTTAATGTCTGCTGTCGGACCGCGCGTCAATGGCGCCAGTGCGCGGTTTATGTTGTTCGGCCCGCTCTGCACGGACGTTGTCTTGTCACCCACGCTGCACGCTCTGTTTTCCTGCCTGTTTTCCATCCGTCTCCACCACCTCAGGATTTGTCCTGATCGTCGGTCTCGTCGTATTGCCCGCCAGCAAACGGTGTCGCCCCCCCCCCCCCCCACGCCCATCAAACTGTGCCTTCATCTCCAACCTGCCTTCGGCACCGCCGTCCAGCCGACCGGCCGGCGCGATGACGCCGCCCCGTGACCCGCCTCGGGGCCTGCTGTAGGGTCGGCCCGGACGGCCCGGCCAGCAGGGCCAGAAGGGCGAGGAGAGCGTCTGCATAATAGGGCCGCCGGGTGAGCCGGGCGCGCCGGGTCCGCCGGCTGCGGCCGCTGCGGCGTGCCCTGCGTGGGGCCGGACTGCACAGGGATCCCTAGTCGCGAACCGAACGTGACCGTCTACTACCCCTGGTCAGAAGGTGAGGGCGGATGGCGGGCGCAGGCGCAGCGGGTCAGCCACTAACCCGGCCCCAGAGGGCCGGCTGGAGGCGGCGCCGCTCACGGGCAGCTGTGTGGAGACTACTCGGAAACAGCGGGGTTTACTAACGGTGCTGCGTGGAGCCTCGGCAACAGCAGGGTCCACTAATGGCAGCTGCGTGGAGCCTCGACGGCAGCGGAGTTCACTAATGGCAGCTGCGTGGAGCCTCGGCAACAGCAGGGTTCACTAATGGCGCCTGTGTGGAGCCTCGACGGCAGCAGGGTTCACTAATGGCGCCTGCGTGGAGCCTCGGCAACAGCGGGGTTCACTAATGGCCGCTGCGTGGAGCCTCGGGAGCAGCGGGGTTCACTAACCAGCAGCAGGCTTGGTCGTGGCGTGGAGGCACGGCGGCAGCAGCGGCAGCAGCAGCAGGATCCGCTGGCAGCTGCTGCGGTGGCGGTGTGAGACGCGGCAGCAGCAGAAACAGCGGGGTTTACTAACCGGTTGCGCCGTGGCCCAGCGGAGTGGCGGCTAACTCGCCACTCCGCGTCCGGAGCCGGCCTCGCAGCCTGCGGGGCCCGTCAACCGGGGCCGCCTAACCGGGGCCTCTAACGGGGCCGCTGCGGGCGCCACTAACCGCCGCTGCCCGCTCTGTGTGGCCAGGGCGTGCCAGGCCGGTCCGGCCTGCAGGGCCTGAAGGGTGAGATGGGCATCGGCATCATAGGCTCGCGCGGCCAGAAGGGCGAGCGCGGCCCCGCCCGGGCCGGCGCGGCCCGGGCCCAACGTGCTGCCGCTCGACCGCAAACTGCACCACGCAGGTGGTGCGCGGCCCGATCGGTCTGCCGGGGGCCCCAGGTGAGGACGGCGCCCGGCCGCCGCTGCATGGCCGGCAGTGGCGCGCACTGCCACCTGTTGAGCGACGTCGTCAACTCGACACCACCCGTGACGCGAAGGCCGTGGACTTGCCTAGATTAAGCGGCGGTCGGTGTCGCGGTGATGTGTTCTGTAGCTTGGTATTGGCTTGCAGCTGCTTTATGCCACTTTGCCTTGTATTGCCCCGTAGCTCCAAGACATTTCCCGTAGCTCCAAGACAGTTTTCGTACATGTCTCGCACCTGTTATGCCTGACTACATTGCTGTGGTAGTATGTTGTTAATGTTTGTATGTGGCATGTCCTACATAGTCTTACCCACATGCATATAAACCTGCGCAACGCCGCGTACCGTGTGATCTTTCACCTCAAGTTTTGTGTCTATTTTCGCCCTATTGCATCAACGCGTGCACCCCGGCTTGTAGACGTATGTCTCGCTTTGATTCCGTCCGAATGGTGGCAATTATATAAAACGTGAAAATTGTAAGCACCTCAGCATGCTAATTCCAGCGAGGCCCCTGGATGCTGCTGGTGAGAGGAACGCTATCATTTGAGATCATGTCTCGGCTTCTTAAATGGAATATTTTCCGGGTAAAAGCAGCGAAATTCGCCGGTTCCCCTTACTTTTTCTTAGCATTATGCTTATGCTGAAGAATCAAGCGCGCGGTAAAGTTGGCTAGAAATAATGGGGTCTTCAGCCAACGGAACTGCGCAGGCAGGCGTAAATGGTGCGCAAATCGACGGTAAACGTGTGTCTTGCGTTTATGCGTTTGCGTAAATGGCGCGTCTCGCGCTCGTGAGGGGTTGGTATGGCGATGTCGGGATTTCGCTGCCTTTCCATGGCGTGGGATCTCCGGGTATCCCGGCGTCGTAGGTTGTAACATTGCAGGCACCTAGCTTGCAGCTTTTCCTTGCCCGGTTGTAACTTAGTGCCATGATCCGGCAGTGCCTCTTTCTATTTGCTATTTCAGGTTCGAAAAAGGAACGAACGATCGTTGAACGTGCTGTAACACCATTAAACAACGGGTGTTACACCACTAAACAACTCGTTCTCCACGTGATGCTAGCTTGAGTGTATTCTTAGAGCATGTAGAATCATATTTGAGTGACGGCCAGGAATCTTTTCTAGTACAAAATTATGCGGTGGACACAGAGCGCGATGTGATGTCTACCATGTCCTGGCAGAACTTAACTACTTCCGTCTACTTCTGGAAGACATTGTCCCAAAGTTGACCAAATAAACTGTTCTCATCTCCGGCGAGGAATCACGCGGCCTCCAGTGCGTCGTGTTTACATGAGCGTTTGTGCGTTGCTTGCTTTCACCAGAGCTTCTACTAAACTCTTAGCCAAATTGCTTGCGCACGCACTAACTTCTGCATTTGTTTCATGTTCAACAGGTCTCTCTGAATGGAGGTAAGACATGCTTTTATGCTTCACTTCATGCCGGTACTAAATATAATAGATCAGCGTGTTGCAAACATTTCCAAGACCGAGTTATAAAGTGTATAATGTTAGTGAATGAAGCATTACCCTATGGCTGCAGCGCTCTTATTTTACCGAAGTAATTGGCATACAGAATCAATGAATCATTGTGCAAATTACTCGTAGCTTACCACTCTGTTTTATCGTACCTTGTGATGCCTACAATTTCTTATGGACTTGTTTGGCATCTGTCGTTGAATACAGCTAGGTGAACGACTGCATTGGATGGGGTAAATAAGCAAAAAATATGTGTTTTTCATTGCGTACATCTATTTTTACACACAAAAACAGATATTCATATATATATATATATATATATATATATATATATATATGTTGTAGTACGGTATGTCTCGTGCCTGACTTCTCCTCCATATGTGGTCCGTCCGACAATGTCAACCCATTATCTATCAGCGATCCATGATGTGAATGTAACTGTTTAGCGCTCACCTCCTCATGACCAGCGACCTCTGACCCAAGCAACCCCCGAGTGACCTCACGCGTCCGACACACGCGTGCCTTCTGACCCGTGATCCGCTGCGACCACTCCTATTCGTGTCATGTCTGTGACCTTTGACCTGTGGCCTGGCCGTGTCCTCTGACCTGCTCAAGGCACCTCAGACCTCTAGCTTTTGCATGTCCTTGACCACTGCTATTTTCGTAATTCAAGACCTCTAGTCCGTAGCGACTGAACCGTGGCCTGGGATCCGTGATCTCTGACGCTTGACGTGTGGCCTTTGCCGTATGATCTTTGACCTCTGACCTGTGACCCGGCCGCAGGGTGAGCCGGGTATGGCTGGCCCCGCCGGTCCCAGCGGCCGGGACGGCTTGCCCGGTCCCCAAGGCCAGCTCGGCATGGAGGGAGAGAAGGGACTGCCCGGCCCGCCCGGACCCAGGGTAAGTGCGTTTCGTGCGACAAACTGCCTGTCAGAAACGGAACTATCTGTGCGTGGCGGTACCTGCGTCGCCTGGTTGACGTATGCAGCGCCGTCCTTAGCTGCTTTGTTGGTGTAGAATGAGAACTTGCGATGAGCGTAAGAGGCATTCCTTTGAGATGTAGGTTGTGAGGTTTGGATCTACGAGGCGCTTTGCAGCTTCTCGGAGTACGCCCATGGATTATCTTCCATGCATGCATCTTTAAAGAAATATGTTAAATCTGCGATTCATAGATCCTGCTTCCGCATATCGCACAATTTGCCCCGTCTGAAGCATTCTCCTAAATTACGACCACCAGCAAGGTAACGGAAGTGAGCAGCTTTACGATCAATACACCGGGTCTGGAGAAGGCCATCAGAAGGTGTAGCTCTACGCGCCTGGGTCCGCAGGGCAAGGAGGGCCTGCCGGGTCCGCCGGGACCGAACGGATTCAAGGGCGACCAGGGCATACCGGGTCTGGACGGCCTGGAGGGCCGGTCTGGCGCCAAGGGCGAGCCGGGCCCGGACGGCCGGGACGGCGAGAAGGGTCTGACGGGTCCGCGCGGCGCGCCCGGCGGCGGCCCCGGTGGGCCGCAGGGCGAGAAGGGCGACCGCGGCTTCTCCGGCCAGCCCGGCGCCAGAGGTGAGGGGGGCAGCGGGAGACCGGTACTGCTCCGGCTCTCCGGCGCCGGCGGGGTGCTCCATGTGAGGGGAGGGGCTCGAACCCCTTATGTGTCGGAGCTTAACCATGTCGCCTATGAACGCTGCGTATAAATAGTCGTCTTAGAATCATGATGTCGCTTCCCCACCAGCTTGCCCACCTGTGCTCAACTGCATCGATAAATCACGGTAGCGCTGGGCAAGGCGCGCGCGTCACAGGATGTTCACGGCCGCTCTGACCTTGGTCCGAAGGAATGACAAGAGTGAAGAGACAGGAAACAGGGCAGACAAAGAACTGGATCCGGAGATAGTAAACCCAACCAGCTTAGAGATGACGGGCGATAGCGATGCCGTCTGAGGAGCAGACTGGCAAACATGTGTGAAGCTGAGCTTCAGCCCTGTCCCGTGCTCGCCGCTGATTGCGTGACAAGCGTGGTGGCGTCTCGGCCTCAGGCGAGGACGGCTTCCCGGGCCGGACGGGCGAGCGGGGTCCGATCGGTCCCGCCGGCGGCGTCGGTCTGCCCGGCCTGCCCGGACCTGAGGGCCTGCCCGGTCAGAAGGGCGACAAGGGTGTGGCCGGCCGTGACGGCTTGGAGGGGCCTCAGGGACCGCCCGGCCTGCCCGGTCAGCGCGGTCCACCCGGGCGACCCGGACAGGCTGGCATCAAGGGCGTCTCCATAATGGTGGGTGAAGCTAGCCGACGTGTTGACGGGTATGCGCAAATATCGGTATGGGTGTAGGGATGAGTATGTAAATGTTGCCTACGTTTAGCGATGCCTTCTGGTCTATTGTTCGGCGCCTTGCTGCTACCGTTCTTGTCTTCTGCTTGGCTATTCTTGTGACGAGTGTTGTCCTGGTCTTCACGTGCTTTCTTTGTGCAAGTTTTCTGACCCTTTTTAGCTTCTATTTACTTATTTATCTTCTATCTTTTATCTCTTTTCTCTGCTACTTAAGACCAACTCCTGTGCTCTTGGTGACGATTTCCAGTGCCGTTCAGCCTGTTCCGTGCCGCCTGCCGCTGTCTACTGACGCGCGTGTGACGTGTTTCGCGCGCCGCCTGTGTGACGCCGCGTCGTGCCGCGCCGCCGCAGGGCACCCCCGGTCTGGACGGCGTGCCGGGCCGCGACGGCCAGCCGGGCCAGAAGGGAGAGCGCGGCTACACCGGTTCGCCGGGCGCGCCGGGCAACACCACGGACGGCATCCCTGGCGAGACGGGCGCGCCGGGCCGGCCAGGCGAGCCGGGGCGTGACGGCCAGCCGGGTCGCGCCGGCTTCCCTGGCCTGCCCGGCCTCAAGGGCGACTCGGGGGGCCAGTGCGACCAGTGCCTGCAGTGCCCGGTCGGCGAGAAGGGCGAGGCGGGGCTGGACGGCCTGCCCGGCCCGGCCGGACTGCGCGGGCCCGAGGGTCCGCCCGGCTTCCCTGGCTTGGCCGGCGAGGACGGGCTGCCCGGTGCCACTGGCAACCCCGGCAAGGAGGTGAGAGGCTGCTGCCGGCGTGCGCCGAGTGCCAGGCTTCCAGACAGAGTACTAGACCTCTTCGTAGGGGGAGGGGAATTGATGGAATGGGCAGCTACAGGTGAGGAAATATAGGTGCGGGGTAATGCACAATGTAATAGTCTAATGTAACGCAAGGTAAGAGCGTGTTGAAAAACGCAAGTTCGCTCAGTCATTGATTTATTCACTTGTATGGCTGCTCGACCCAATCAGTAAAGACAGGCAAGGAGAATGTACTGATACCCCGACCCGTGTACAGTGAATGTCATGTGTCGCTTACAAGTTGATCAACGTCATCAGCTAACGTATTAAAAGCAAAAAACACGACCTCGTGCCTGCCATTGCCTCCGCCGACCGCCTTCCCTTTCATCCAGGGTGAGGCTGGCCTGCCGGGCCAGCCCGGCCTCCCCGGCGAGAAAGGACGCGACGCGTTCGTGCCGGGCAGCCTGGTGACGGGAGCGAAGGGCGACAAGGGCGACTTCGGCCTGCCGGGCCTGCCGGGCCTGAGCGGACCGGCCGGCGAGCCAGGCCTCAGCGGCAGGCCCGGCCAGCCTGGCCTGCCCGGCGCCAAGGGCGACAAGGGCTCGCGCGGCTTCCCGGGCGAGCGCGGCAGGGACGGCCGGCCCGGCATCGACGGACTCGACGGGCTGGCCATCAAGGGCGAGCCCGGCCGGCCGGGCGAGTCGGGCCTGCGCGGCGGCAAGGGCGCCTCCGGCACCAAGGGCGCCAAGGGAGAGCCCGGTGAGCGCGACAGACGGGGAGACATCGCCGGGGGTGCGCTCAGTGTCGGCGGCCATGCTTGACGCCGACATAGGCGGGGGTCTACGACCCCTGCAGCTTCGTCACAGTATGTCACAAGCTTTAACACTTTGGTTGGCTATTACGTGAGATGAAAAACACCAGGCAGTCCTACGTGGTTAATTCGCTGTGCAAGTTATCATGTTGCATAATTGTCACTGCGGCCGCAATGCCCTGTATCTGCTTCAAACATAACCAGCGGGCCCTTGTATCCCTTCTTGTGGCTTATTCTGAACTCAGATCAAAGGCGCCATCCGCGGTCCATTGATAAACAGTGTTTCGGGATCATGTTTGCTTTAATGTTTATTTGGTGTTTGTTGTATTGTGTGATGTTATTTATGAACTTTTTTAGCAAACTTCCATGTCTCTGACATTGAAAAATATGATCGCCACCGACCGCCATTGGACCGTCTCGCCATGTCTCTTGTCCATGGCACAGTAACCCCCCAACGCCACCCGACTCCCCAGGACGTCTGGACGGGGCGCTGCCCCTGATCAAGGGCGCGGCGGGACAGAAGGGCGACCGGGGCCCGGACGGTCTGCCGGGTCTGCCGGGCGAACGCGGCGACAAGGGTCAGCTGGGCCTGCCGGGCCGCGATGGCGAGATGGGTCCGGTGGGCCCGCCGGGCCCCACCGGGCCACGCGGCCTGCCCGGTCCCCGCGGCGACAAGGGCGACCTGGGCAGGGTCGGCCTCCCCGGCGAGCGCGGTCAGGACGGCCTGCCCGGTCGGGTCGGCCAGAACGGCGCCGTTGGCGAGAAGGGTGACGCCGGTCTGCCCATGCCCGGCCCGCCCGGCCTGCCCGGCCTGCCCGGCCTCAAGGGTGACTTCGGTCCGCCTGGCCTACTCGGACAGCAGGCTTCCCAGGCGAGCCGGGCCAGCCCGGATTCCCCGGCCTCAAAGGCGAGTCCGGCATACCTGGTTTGGACGGATCGCCCGGCCGAGACGGCGAAAAGGGCAGCCCCGGCCTGCCGGGGCCGGACGGACCTCAGGGCGTCGCTGGTGCACCGGGAATCGACGGAATCAAGGGTGAGCGCTCTCGCTTGAAGGCAACACTGCTAGATGGCCCCTAGTGGCTTCATTTATCATGTCAGTGGCACGTCTGCACCTTCTTGTGCTGTTTGTGTTTGCGTAACTATTCTGTCCAGTCCGGCGTTACTTCCCAGCGTGATTCGGTGGCCGAGTTTGCCTGGTGACTTATGTGTGCCCTGTCGGCTGCTGACGCTGACCCACCCGCGCCCCCAGGGGAGCCCGGCCTGCCGGGAGACGACGGTCGCCCTGGCCTGCCCGGCTTCCCGGGACCGAAGGGCCAGGCCGGTCTGCCGGGCTTGCCGGGCATGAAGGGCGTGCTGGGCCGCGACGGCCAGGACGGCGGCCCCGGCCTGCCCGGCCAGGACGGCCTGCCCGGGCTGCCCGGGCAGAAGGGCGATGCCGGCCTGCCCGGGCCCGTGGGACCGTCCGGCCAGCCGGGCCTGCCTGGCATGGACGGCCTGCCCGGCACCAAAGGCGAGGCGGGTCGCCCCGGCCTGCCCGGCCAGCCCGGCCAGCGAGGCTTCCCTGGCGAAAAGGGAGACCTCGGCCGGCCCGGCTTCTCCGGCGAGAAGGGCAACGCGGGCAGCGCCTCGGAGAAGGGCGAAGCCGGGCAGCCAGGCTTGCCCGGCGCGCGCGGCCCACCCGGTCTTGACGGCCTGCCCGGCGCACCCGGTCGCGAGGGACAGAAGGGAGACACCGGCTTCGGCGCGCCGGGCCTGCCCGGACTGAAGGGAGACCGCGGTCCAGACGGCCTGCCCGCCCAAGACGGCCTGCCCGGGCAGAAGGGAGAATCCGGCCTGCCTGGATTCCCCGGAATGAAGGGAGAAAGGGTGCGTATCTTGCTTGTTAACGTCAACCCGACATCAAAATAATTGTCAGAGACAAGCACCGTTTCTCAGGCTGCTTTTTGCTTCGTTAAATACAGTAAAAACTGGAGACGATGTGACATGCCCAAGCTTTTTTACCATGCATAGCAAGACTGTTGTCATCGATGAATGCCATTCTGTGACAAACACGGTGTCCGCGTCCTGACACTGCTTTTGCGTTGGGCCGCCTCAGGCGTTCCCGGGCCCGCCCGGCGTACCGGGCAGGCCCGGCCTCGACGGCCGGCCAGGCCAAAAGGGTGACAGTGGCCCGGTGGGTCTGCCCGGTCGGCCTGGTGCTGAGGGAGAGAAGGGCAACCCGGGCTTCCCCGGCCTCGACGGCGAAAAGGGCGAAGAAGGACCGGAAGGTGGGTTGAACCCTCCCAGATAGGAGCGCGCTTGTTTGCGATATGCCTTGTAGCATCTGGTTATTTGCGTAACCAAAAATGCGCTTCATGCATCGAACGAGTGCAATGTACTGCACAGTCGGTGCGTTGGCGAGGTTGTTTAATAACACTTACATATGCGTTGCATCCGTGCTGTTTGTGTGAAGGTGTTCGCTCCAGGTTTAAGAGTCGCAGTGCTCCGAATAAAACGAACGAATGCCGCACCGTTCTCAACCGCGGTGACGTGCACTTGGGTGTGGAGCAGTGTACGCTGGTTTGCACCCTGTCCGCTGACATTTAACTCGCGTCGCTGCAGGTCCCGTCGGTCTGCCAGGCGTGCCGGGTCTGTCCGGCCAGAAGGGCGACGCCGGCCTGCCTGGTCGGCCGGGCGTGCCCGGTGCCAAGGGCGACCGAGGCCTCGAGGGTCGCGAGGGCGAGACGGGCCAGCCGGGCTTCCCAGGCCCGCCTGGTGCTGAGGGCCCCGACGGCGACAAGGGTGACCGCGGCTTCGCGGGCCAGCAGGGCCTGCCCGGCCTGGACGGCCTGCCCGGCCAAAAGGGTGACCAGGGACCGGTCGGTCCCGAAGGCGTGCCCGGGGTCGGCATCCCTGGCGAGAAGGGCTTGCCCGGTATGCCCGGGAAGAACGGCCGGCCGGGCGCGCCGGGCGTCCCGGGCGACAAGGGCGACAAGGGCTTCGTGGGCCTGCCGGGCCTGCGCGGCCAACCGGGCCCGCTCGGCCCAGTCGGACCGCAGGGCGAGAAGGGTGACAGTGGCCTGCCGGGCGTGTCCGGCCTGGACGGCGAGGACGGCCGGCCCGGCCAAGTTGGCTTCCGCGGCCCGGCCGGCCTCCCCGGTCTCAAGGGAGACCGTGGCCTGCCTGGTGTTCCGGGAACCCCCGGAGAGAAGGGTGATCAGGGACTGCCAGGTGAGTTACGCCGAAAAAACCTGCAGCACAGTTAGGCGTGCCTTTCAATTGATCTGTGCACGAAGGCTTCTCAACACATACAGTGCTAGCGATTTTGTCATGTCTTCTCCTTTTTGTGCGTATTTGTTCATGGATCTACGCCTCGTTTTTCTTACTAGCTGCATTGAGATTACCCTTTCATGTCGCACATACCTTTGCAAAGGGTGAAAGATCGAACGTATCGGAAATGCAGTTAGTGCAGTTCTTCATCACAACACCTAAAACACGTACACCTTGCCGACCCCGTCCTTCTTCACTCGCCATTTCTCGGCAGGCGCCAACGGCCAGGACGGCTTGGCCTGGCTTCCCGGGCGAGAAGGGCGAGCGGGGCCTGGACGGTGCGTCCGGTCGGCCGGGCTTGCAGGGCGAGCGCGGCCTGGACGGCCAGCCCGGCCTGCCCGGCCCCGTCGGCCCCGCCGGACTGCGCGGCGAGAAGGGCGAGGCGGCCCGCAGTGGCCAGCCCGGCGAGAAGGGCGATCAGGGCCTGCGGGGCCTGCCCGGCCGCGACGGCCCGCCCGGCCTGCCCGGTCAGGACGGACCGGCCGGCCTGCCCGGCCAGAAGGGTGACCTGGGCCTGCCCGGCCAGGACGGCCTGCCCGGACTGCCCGGCGCTGACGGGCCCAAGGGAGAGCCCGGTCTAGACGGGCTGACAGGCTACCCGGTGGGTGGACAAACTGGCGCGTGGTGCTGTATAGCAATGGAAGCTCGACGATGTGTGCTATTTTGATCGTGCTAGCAAATAAGTGGCAGCCGTTGTTTCAATGTATTTTTGTGCTGCATTGTTCTTGGACGCTTTTTGTCCCCTGGTATCTGCGTTGCAATTAATCAAACAATTGCAGGTGATTGCACATGATCGCCGACCTGTCAGCAGACACAGCCGTGAATGCAGGCTAACAATTCCGTGCCTGTAACACCTCTGCGCTGCCACCCGTAAACACGAGCGCATCCCTGCTGGAAGAAGTGCGCCCCATTTCTTCCATTCCGCCCGAAATTATGGTCGCTATCACCAGCCGCACGCTGCACAACTCCACCAACCGGCGCCCGCCGCTGTGCCGCAGGGCAGCCAGGGCGCGCCCGGCGAGAAGGGTGACCCGGGCCTGGAGTGCTCGGCCTCCCCGGACTACTTGACCGGCATTCTGCTGGTGCGTCACAGCCAGACTTCCAGCGTGCCGCGCTGCGAGCCCGGCCACATCCGACTCTGGGACGGCTACTCGCTGCTCTACATCGAAGGCAACGAGAAGGCACACCACCAGGACCTCGGTAGGCGGCGGGATGGATGAGGGCGGCGGCTCCGACCCAGGTGGTGGGAGGGCAGCCGCGGGCTCCCTCTGGCGCCGGAGTGCTTGGAGAGTGCTGGCGTGGGGCGGGCGAGGAAGCTTGAACGGGTCTGAAGCCCTGGCGTGTAAACTTTGGCAGGAGAAATAGACCGAGTGACAAAAAAGGAGAACTGGCGATGATAGCTTCAAGCGGCTACGAACAAAAAAGTGTCTAGACGGGCAAAAACTGCTTTGAGTAAATATACACGCAGACGCGGGCGCCAGGAAGTACGACATATTTTCCCTGATGACCTGATGATCACAGACGCTTCACCGGAGTCCAAATTTGAGTTCACGAATCGCCCGAGACGTGTCCTGTGCCTCCTGTTTTGTTCACACCTCCTGCCCATGTTCGCAGGCTTCGCCGGTTCCTGTGTGAAACGCTTCAGTACCATGCCGTTCATGTTCTGCGATATGAACAACGTCTGTAACTACGCCAGCCGCAACGACAAGTCCTACTGGCTGTCTACCAACGCGCCCATCCCGATGATGCCTGTGTCCAACACTGCCATTCGCGAGTACATCTCCAGGTCAGTGACCTCTCAGGGTCGGTCACGCCGCGTGCAGCTGACCGTGAAATCAACGAGGGGTGCTCTTCATTACTGCTGTTTGGACATGCATTTTGTGCATGCAGCAGCATTTGGATAAGCTCTGCATAAGCTCTGCATAGCCGTTGGACAATTTCCGCTTGTCCCGTTTTATTTCTAGGGCCGGCTTGGTCTCATGGGGTATTTTATATTTGACGTCATGAGAAATGTACGGCTAGCTAGCGTATGCCCGCCGTAATGTGTGATGGTGTGTGTCGCCCAGGAAATCTCTGCATTGACTCCGAGGCGTATTGGCGGTGTGTCTAACCTGTTGTGTCAGTACGCCTGACCTGCGGCGGCTCTGTTTCAGATGCGTGGTGTGCGAGGCGTGTCGGCAGTGAGTCTGACCTGTCGTGTCAGTACGCCTGACCTGCGGCGGCTCTGTTTCAGATGCGTGGTGTGCGAGGCGTGTCGGCAGTGAGTCTGACCTGTCGTGTCAGTACGCCTGACCTTGCGGCGGCTCTGTTTCAGATGCGTGGTGTGCGAGGCGTGTCGGCAGTGAGTCTGACCTGTTGTGTCAGTATGCCTGACTTGCGGCGGCTCTGTTTCAGATGCGTGGTGTGCGAGGCGTGTCGGCAGTGAGTCTGACCTGTTGTGTCAGTATGCCTGACTTGCGGCGGCTCTGTTTCAGATGCGTGGTGTGCGAGGCGTGTCGGCAGTGAGTCTGACCTGTTGTGTCAGTATGCCTGACCTGCGGCGGCTCTGTTTCAGATGTGTGGTGTGCGAAGCGCCCTCTAACGTCATGGCCGTACACAGCCAGTCTCTGAACATTCCCGAGTGCCCGCAAGGCTGGGACGGTATATGGATTGGATACTCGTTCGCCATGGTGAGCGCCGGCCATGGATATCTAGAATCTGTACCCTTTATGGATATTTGCAGCTGCCTCTTAGCTTGAGCACAACGGTTTGATGCATTCAGTACTGAATCGATTTTTCCGATTTTTATCGCGCTGTTGATAACTTTTCCTCAAGTGTATGTGCTTACTGCCGTGCGCCGCGAGCGTCTCGACCTACGCCCTGGGCGCCGACACATCATGACACGCCCTGACACGTCGTGACCGCGCCCGGCAGCACACGGCGGCCGGCGCCGAGGGCGGCGGCCAGTCGCTCTCCTCGCCCGGCTCCTGCCTGGAGGACTTCCGTGCCACGCCCTTCATCGAGTGCAGCGGCGCGCGCGGCTCTTGCCACTACTTCGCCAACAAGTTCTCCTTCTGGCTGGCTACCATCGACGACGACGAGCAGTTTGGCCGGCCGCGCAGCGCCACGCTCAAGGCGGGCAACCTGCGCTCGCGCGTGTCGCGCTGCCAGGTGTGCATCCGCGGCGCCTGAGCGGCCGCTGTGATAGCGCGCGCGCGCGGCCGCCGGCCCGGGTCGGACCGTACAAACCCGCAGCCGCCTGCGGCGCCCGGTTCTCGTTCGTCCCCTCCGCCGCGGCTCTAGTCACTCCGAGACGCTGCCAACACTGCCAGTCGCCGACCGCGCTCAGCAATCCGGAGCGGCCGGTCAGGAACGCTCTCACGGTGACCTCCCCTCCCCCTCTTTCTCGTACCGCCAACACTGCCGCCGCCTTGCGGTGCGAAATGTAAGCGCTTGACTAACGTGCTGTAGGTTTAGCGTGCGGACGGGCCGGCGGGTGGTGCCGTTTGTGTTCGTGTGAGGAGGTCACACTCGGTCGGGCCCTGGTCCTCCGACTGTGACGCACGTGCTGAGCGGCCGCGGCCCTCGCGCGTGCCGGCCGCCTCGTGCACGTGCTGGTGCGCAGCGCCCGGGAGTGGCGCGGGCGGTGGGGTGCGGCGGCCCCGCCCGGCCAAAACATTGTAGCACGAGCTTATCTATGCGACGCCGTCAGATGGGGCGCTGCGGATGGATTGCTAGGTGTCGGCATTCAGCTTCTAACTGGCCGATGATGTACCAACTGCCAGTTGCCAGAGTATTTTGACGTGCTTCAGTTTCGATCAGTAAACGATCAACCCTCACCGAGCGTTTTTCTATGAGAGGGACAGCTCAACGGGTTGGCCAATTATTTACGCATATGAGGGCGGACGTCCGGTGCGAATGTTTGGTGCTATCAGATGTCCTATGTGCGTGCAATGTCAATATAGTCACACTGACAAAAGTGGAAATGTTTCCCGTAATTATTATGCGGCCTTGCTCTAATTGCCAAAAACGCGCCTAGAACAGCAGAAATGGTGCGGATGTAATGTGATTTCACATCCATTCGTACTCGAGTTTGCTATTTTCTAGCCCGCCCTGTACATGCAATTTTTTTAAAGACGGGATCCAGCTATGCGAAGAAAGGCTCTGTGGTCAGCTGAAATCACAACCATCAGATCTGTCTGAGCTAGCGTAACCTTTCTTCTCCTTAATTGGCCTCGGCTCCAGGAATCTGCATACTACCCAGTTCTACAGGCATTGCAAAGTAGCAAACTAATTGAAAACGGTCATATTTGCTTGATCGTAAATGTTTCACCGACATAAACACATCCCACATGCATAAACGCGCCCGTCGTTACGAGCTTGGGGAATCGAATAAATGCAGTCTAGACATCACCATATCAATAGCACAATGAAAAACGACGCGCGGACTGCTCTCAAGCACGTATTCGTGTACCACAGTACGAGAGAAAGCCCTAAGATCACGTCACGTACATGCCCGCAGACGCTATCGAAAGCGAATACATCATCGAGAGTACGTGCGCTGATTACAGACCAAAGGATTTCTGGAAGGTCTCGAGGCCTTTAGCTCTCCGGAAACTGCAAACAAGCGATCATATGAATCGCAAACTTATGATATACGCGATCAGATGCCAGGAGTAAAAGCAAGCAAACCAACATGAGCATCGAAAATAAGTACTTCGTAGTGTCCGCAATGTTCCCACAAGTGTACATTCCGCATTTTACCTGAATTCCTGATACTGCGATAACCCACAAGGCCCGCAATTGTTTTTGCTTTGAAAAATTGTTCCAGTACCAGTCAATGGCATTGCCTCAATTAAGTTCAGCCACAAGGCCCGCAATTGTTTTCGCTTTGAAAAATCGTTCCATTACCAGTCAATGGCATTGCCTCAGTAAAGTCAAGCGAAATAGCCTATGTCCGTAATGAATTCAGTTGGATTAAAGCTACTTTTCGACGCTCTGAGCTTAGTTGTGCCAGAACGTCATTTTACCGAATCACATTTGAACCATGTAATTGATCAGTGAGACTCCTTTTGTGTAATGGGAAAAGAAATGTGACGACAGACATGATTTAGAAGCATTTATCATGTATAATTTGCTATCATGCAGACAATAGCAACGTAAGGGAGTGGAGCCCAAGTGGATTCTGGGCAAACTGAGATTTTTTAGTAACTTCAAATGGCTTGAAGACAAAAATGAATGCTCGTATCATTTAAGGCGTTGCTAATGGAAACCATGCGTCGACGCACGTACAATTGCTCACGGATGGTTGCATTCATGCTACTCGCAAACAACCTTTTCTACACGAGCTTTTATTCCAGCGAACTGCCGTGATCACAGATAGTTTGCTTGGGTAAGCTCTTCACACCATTCGCATCCGCATGCTTGCTTGCAAACCTTTCCGTGCGAACTTTGCGCGCATACTTTTGTCACACGATCATCAAAGCTCACATATAATTTTCTAAGAACACTTGGGTCAGTGCGCACTTCATGGTTAATCGCTTCTCCCTACCATTTTGCGTACTAAAACTAGATAAGGCATACCCAGGGATGAGTTTGTACTGGGATGAGATGAGTAGTAACCTGACCCCTGGCATACCGGAGCAAGCCCGCAGTGGCGCCCATTTTTATAGGCGGCGCCATGTTCGATAGCCTGACTGAAATAGAGGTCATATGCCAGAGAGCGCCAAAACAGCGTAGAAGAACCGTAAACATGTTCGCTCGAGCTCAGTCTAGAATAATTAAGCAGATGCACAAGCTTCTTTGGCAACGTACTGGCGTCCAATCTTAATGACGTAAGTGGCGAAGCTCCGTGCTAGAACGATTATAATATTTTTGCGTCATACCCTTGCAAAATCGATCTGAGATTATGCCTTTGCTAAACTGATCTGTAATTGATATGCGTTCTTAAACCTAATAATGGGAATGTCCACTTTTATTTCAATTCGTACCTAAATCTGTTAAGTCTGTGAAGTGGAAGGCGATAGAATTATCTATTATTGTTGATTTACGGAAGTCAGACCAAACCGGCGCTTTTGGCGCCCGTTCCCCTTTTCCGTTGGTGACGCAGATCCATTGCTCCACTGTAATTCTGTGCTCGATTTGCCTGGTGCTCAATTTTTAGGATGTTGTAGAAAAGGGTAGTGGCGGCTGGTTCTACATGGGTGACTGCATGAGTAGCTGCTTGTGGAAAACGTCTCTAATATGATACTGTCTTCTCTATAGTGAGGTGCGTTAAAAAAGTATTAAGACTGCCGCAAGAAGATTCAGCTGCTTGGGAGAATCCGCCCATCGGTCAATTCCTCTGCGGCGGGTTTGGCTGGGGTCTCTTGAGCAGACTCCAATGGTAAGATGTTAGGCTTTGCTGGCTTAAACCCTGAAATTGTTAACTGTAGGAACCTTCATTCAAAAGTGAGTGGAAGAAATATTCCCTATATTTTTAAGTTTTACTCCCTATGCCCTAATCCCTAACTCCAGTGTGTGAGAAATTCATGTTACGCCAAGCATTTGCGTCATAGTGGCAACATTGTGGCAACAATCTTCAGTGCATGCATGGCTTGATTTAAATTGTCCCAAGTTTTGGAGAAGTGGAGAGTTTTCACTAATTTCAGGATATAGGAAGTTGTCACTTGTCAGGGTTTTTGGTGCACTAACTGCAGGGGCCATTCAGTGGTGAAAGCATATGGAGTGAATGTGTTGAGGAATTGTGTTGGAAGCTAATATCAAGCAAACTACCTTCCAAGCATTTTTGGGCAAAACTTATCTGTGAAATTGGGTGCAGTTGAGCCTGGTTTATGTTTTGTGCATGTATGCATCAACAGGCAGGTGTCATATGGGCAACTAGAGCAGCAGGTGATTGTTTTCCAGACTGGCTATAACCCAATCTGGAAAGAAAATGGCAAGAATTCTGGTGAGATATTTTGACCTGCCTGAAATCTACCCAAATGGCCTTTTGAGCAGAGAGAAGACAAATTTGGGGTAGCTTCTGCCCAATGAAACTGGCTTATGCCCAAGGCATGATACTGATTTAGGGCACTGATATCAATAGTTAGTAGTCAGTCAGCCAAGTTCTGATCAAAGGAATCTGCCTCCAAGCTTTAAAAAGCTGCCCCAAATTTCAAATTTGCCCAACCCTGTCTTAATGAGAGCTCTGATATTTGTTACTTATTGCAGACACCTGCATCTTGCATTGGTGGTTACTGTCATTACTAGTCAGCTGATACACATATTAAAAAGAGTTGATATAGCATAATTATCTTTGACATTGACACTTCCCATTAGTACCATTACTACTGGGTAGGTGTGCAAGTTAAACCTTATAGTTGCATGGCACTGTGATGGGACTTATTCTTACCCCCTAATTTCACACCCAGTATCATGAATTTGCTGGTTGATTATTGGAACTAGTCTCAGCATGTGCCATTGTCATATGGAGTGTGACATTGTTTATGCATCCTCTAATGATTTTATAGTGGAAGTGTCAGCTTAGGTTGTAGTGACTCATGACTTACATATTTATGTTTATTTCATTTGAAATCCTCTGATATTGTAGATTGTGTCATAAACATGGGAAGTCCTACCATATTTAATATTACAGTACTGCAGTATTTCTTACAGTATCTTAATAATAAACTTACAGTATTATTATAAGTGCTTTACAGTACCTCATCCATAATTTGGGTGGAGATCAAAGCTGCAAATTTTTGCATCTGAGTGTCACTTTGTGTATCCAAGCACTGTTTTTTAATGACCTGTTATCTTTACAGAGTGCTGAAGAAGCTGATGTTGCAGACAGCTGGGAAGAGGCTGCAGATTCTGGAGTAGGTCCCTCCAATTCCCTCTCTTGTTTTGTAGGTTATTGTCTTGCGGTGATAACTCATACAGCAAGATATTCAGAAATATATATATATATATATATATATATATATATCTATCTATATCTATATCTATATCTATATCTATATATATATATATATCTATATCTCTATCTGTGTGTGCGTGCGTGCGTGCGTGCGTGCGTGCGTGCGTGCGTGCGTGCGTGCGTGCGTGCGTGCGTGCGTGCATGTTACTGAAGCAATAATTTCAATTGCCATATTTTGTAAAGTGAAACTAAACCAATATGTATGCCAATACAACAGTATTGCACCATCACACCTGAAATGGAAATGTGATGTTAATTGCCTGGTTGTAGTGTGCTCACTGTCTTTATTTTCAAGTAGGTAGTTTTAATGCAACATTAGTGTGTGGCAAGAGTAGAGCATGTTCAGAATGTATGTCAAAAGCTTCAGGGTGGTTGTGTGGTGCTGAAATGCAGCAGGAACCATGCGGTGGTGTTGTATAATTAGTGCACAACATTTATGTGATTGGTACCATCTACCAATAGTGTGGAAAACATTGTAGATGTTTGTCAGTTTATGATATTTGAAAGATATCAGAAATTGAGGATATTTGTAGCAATATCTATGGTGTAATGATTTGTTGGGAATACAAATTTGTTTGTTAAAAATCAGGGTTTTCTATTAGTTCCTGGAAAATAGGTGATAGAGCTATTTTGGCTTACATCTACTGCTGAATGACAGATCAACACAAACTCAGAATCCATAGGATAAAATTAGGTGTGTAGCCTTATTGGTGGATGATTGAATGAAGCAGGTAGCAGGCATATTATATATGCCAAATTAACTGCTCCCTGTAGTGTGTAAATCCGTGATATCACATTAAGGCGTTCTGTGGTATGTGATAAATAGTGACTTCCTGAGCAGACATTTTTCTCTGAATTGGAAAATGCTGACAACATTGCCTCTTAGGTATTATTTCAGATTGCCCATATATTTATGTTGGTCCAGGGTTGGTGGTCTTCATGCTATAACAAGACTATGTGTTGGGTTGTCCATGTCATGAAAGGTAGGGCTGGCAAGCCATGTGGCTGCATTCATTTTTGTTCTCATGTTGTCATTTTCATTGTTGTCATTTGTTGCATATGATGAAAGCTTTTTCCATCAAGCTAGTGATTAGTTTGGTAATTTGCTTGGGTTCCATTTGGTATCATAGTAAATGATGTGTGGTGATGATCCTGCCTTGTTGTTTGTGTGTTTTTTTTTCATTTCTTGTTCTTATGTGCTACTCTGTAAATAGCATTGTGGCTGACCTCTTTGTCCCACAAAGCCTCCTTTTTTGAGGATGCAGAAAAGCTCACATCAACTACATTGTGATTTATGATATGCTGGCTGCTTACAACCCATCATTGGCAGGAATCTGTGTCATACACATGCACATTTGCACTCATTTCAAGCCTGTGCGAACTCATCTGAGCATGAAGACGTCGATAGAGCTGCAATTTGTTTTCTGAGAATAGAAAACTACACATGTTGGTTTGGATTATCCACATTTGGCCAGCCAGACTGTGTATGGTGATGTGTTGCTGGGCATGTCTCCCCTCATCTGTTTAGAGGGCTGATTTTCTGAAGAGGCAACGCCTCCACGTCCGCAGGACCTGACCCAACTCCCAAGCACCGTGCAGGAGGATCAAGAGCTGTAGCAAAGCCACGGGCTCAGGGGGCTCACCCAGACGCCAGCACGCAGGACCGCCGCGGCTGATCGGGACAGCTTCGGATCCCATCACGCGAGGTCGCCAGGGTTGGCTGGGCGGGGCCAGACGCCAGGACTGAGGGTCACTGAGGCCAAGGGAGCCCGGGCTGTAGCTAGGTCGTGTAGTCGGACGGCCATGTCTAAGCGCAAGGGCGTGAGCGCCGAGGAGAAGCGGACCCGGATGCTGGACCTGCTGTACGAGAAGCAGGACTTCTTCCAGCTGAAGGAGCTGGAGCGGCTCGGTCCGAAGGAGAAGGGCGTCGTGTCGCAGTCGGTGAAGGAGGTGATCCAGGGCCTGGTGGACGATGGTCTTGTCGACACGGACAAGATCGGCACATCCGTCTACTTTTGGGCGTTTCCCAGCAAGGGCGCTGGCGTGCGCCAGCATAAGCTGGCCGGGCTGGAAGAGCAGCTGGCGCAGCTGCGGCAGAAGCGGCACACCGTTGAGGCCCAACTGGCGGAGGCGGCCGTGGGCAGGGAGGAGGACGACGAGCGTGGCCAGCTGCTGAAGGATCTGGCCGGCCGCCGCCAGGAGCGAGCACGGCTCGACGCCGAGATTGCCAAGTACAAGGACTGCGACCCCGAGGCGCTGGAGGCCATGCGGCAGCAGTCGCGCATCGCTATCGAGGCGGCTAACCGCTGGACCGACAACATCTTCAACATCAAGTCCTGGTGCAAGCGCAAGTTCAGCATGGAGGAGGCAACGATCGATAAGCAATTTGGGATTCCGGACAGTTTCGACTACTTGGAGTAGTGCGCCAGGACAAGCGCGGAGTCATTGTCGAGCGCGAACTTCGCGTTGGCGTGCATTCGAGGCGAGGGTCTCACTTCAACGTTCAGTGATAGAAAGGACTGAACTGTTAGGCTAGTTGTAATGTACATATTTGTTCACAGGCAATAAACCATTCCTTTTGCATTGTCATTTCGTATTCGTGCCGAAGAATTCGATGCAGTATGATCGTATGGCTTGGAAAAAGGAAATAACTGAAACGTTGTATTAATCAAACTCATTTTGAAACAAGCCGGCGGTGCCGCGGCCACCTTTGACGCATGGCGGGTCTGTGGGAATTGTCGCTTTCCGTTTAAACGCCTCAAGCAGTGGAACCGTCACCCATATACAGCAAACTACAGTGACGCTAAGGTTACAGCCAGCGGCGCATCCGTGGTTCCGTGGTGATTCCACCAATGAACGGGCGCGTGATATTCAAAGCTGCTCGAACGGCACCAGAACGGCACCGTCTTCGGCTCCACGGCTCCGCGATCGCACGAAGGAGGTAGTGACCACCTGGGCGCCTTGGTCACACCACAATTCGCAAGGAGCACGCAAAGTCATGCCGTTGATTTCTGGTGCGCATTCGATGGGTGCAGAAGTGGTAAAACCGGCAAGATGGCCGCGAACGAATAACCAGGGCCAAACGTTTCCCACTCCTGTTCATTGTCGTCTGTTGTTTTGCACCGTTTGATGTGAGTTGAGCGCAGATCAACGGACAGTACTGTGCGTCTCGTCTGGCTCAGTATGACGATGGTCCTTCCAGCCCGTCGCTCAACGACTGCGTGGTCAGGCTCCACAGTACCCCGTTGGGCATGGGTGATGCCCGGGGCAGCTGCGGCCCACACTCTGCGGTCACCTCACTGCCACGCCCGCAGGCGCCTGGCTGGCTCGTCCGCAGGCGACCTGGCCTCCCCGCCCGCGGGCGGCCGAGCCTCCCCGCCGTGTGTAACCTCGCCGTGCCGCTGCTGCAGGAGCTGGACAGGCAGCTGGAGCAGCTGCGGACGGCCCGCGAGCGCGCCGCCGCCGCCGCCGCCGCGCCGCACGAGCGCCTGCTGGTGCGCGTGCAGGCCGAGGAGGCGGGCCGCACCCAGTACGTGCCGGCCGAGCCGCAGATCACCATTCTGAAGCGGCCCGACCCGGGTCTCGGCGGCCGGCCGGCCCAGGGCGAGCGTGCTCGTCAGCCGGCCAAGTCGCTGCAGCAGGTAACGCGGAGGCGCGGCCGGGCTGTCTCAGACGGGCGGCGAGTGTCCCTGGCTGCGTCTCTGTAGCGCTAGTGAACGCTCCAAAATCCTTTCCTATAGGAGTGCTGAAGTCGCGGTTGTCTGATTGTTTTCCGGTTGAGTGGCTCATTTCGCCTGCTTATGTGCAAGAGGTCACTGCTTGGTAGCACACAGCTCATGCAGCGCACTGTGTTTGGCCGGAGCTCATTTTGACAATGTTTGGTTCATGATATTCCTTGATTGCGGGCGATGGCGCTTATAGCTGGAAGCGCACATAATGTCGCCTACTGGTAGTTGCCGCGATGATTTGAGGCTGTGCGGTACTATGTTGGGTAGAATAGCGCCCTGGTGTCGATTGCGTGCTCTGTGGCTTGCGTTGCGTCTTGCGACAGCACTGATGCAAGCAGTAAGAGAAGCTTAGTAAGATGTGAGGCCTGGCTCCGGGTCCGTGGACCTCCGCATGTCCGTATCTGGCGTACAATGGACAGCCCTGTCATGCTACGTGTATTGTCCACAGCGAGAGGCCGAATATGCTGAGGCCCGGCAACGAATATTGGGTAGCAGTGGTCTACTGGAGAAGACGACGGGACCAGACAGGTACGACCGACATTCGGCTGCGTCGTTGGAGACGCCTGCTGTCAGCGATGAACTGTGGGGAATATCCCAGCGTTGGTACACTGGTAGTGATAATATTCACCTTAGACTGTGTATCTTTTCGATTTTTGTGCCGCGTTTGGAAACAGGAAATTACGTCTCTTCTGGTCTGCCGTGGCGACGTGGAAGTAAGGCCCCTACCCCTTGACGCCATATTCTGAAACCTGAGCCGCGGCTGGCTGGCACGGCGCCGCACTCGCTAGTACCGTGCTACCTGTTATGACACGCTCATCTGGATGCCTTCTCTACAGTTTTGCGTCATGCGCTCCGCCTGTGTCCCACTCACAAAGCAAACACTGCCGGTGATTGACGCGCCAGTCGCGCCCCTCCGCTGTGTAACCGGTGCCCCCTGCCCCGGCACCTGTGGCCGCCGCTCGTCTGACCGCTCCGCCGCCGGCGCCGTCGGCAGGGCGGCGCCGCCGGTGGAGCTGCTGCGCAGCAGGGAGGCGGCAGCGGTAACCCGTCTGCCGCGTGGCCCGGACGACACGGCCGGCTTCCAGCTGCCCAGATAACGCCCACGCCGGCCAGCCGCCAGCTATTTTTGTACGGAAAGCCACGCGCCCGGCGTTAGGAGTCGGCAGCGGCGCCATCTCCGGCGCGTGTGACCCGGAGCGGGGTGTTCTGCGCGGCACGAGCGCCGCCGGACGCCGATGACTGTGATTGTGCAGGTGATGCGGCGACGGGGGTGTGCGGTGTCGTGGTGGACGCTGGAGACACCGCGAACGGGCGTGTCTGCGCGGCCGGGTGTCCGCGCGGGCGTGCTGGAGTGAAGTGAACTGCTGAGCGTTGGAGCGGACCACGCTGTCCGGGAAGACTTATTTTTGGTCCGCGTTTGCCGACAAAGGTCTCGGATGTGATTTTCTCTGCCTGGATTTGCCGGTTGCCAAGTCCCTGGGCCACGTAACGCGCTTGGGTCCGCCTGCTCGCGCATATTCAGATGTTTGTCACATAGGTCACCGTGATGAACTTGGCGCCATATCAGTAGTGGTGTGTATTTCGGATAGGTGGCCGCGCGCAGATTGTATCAGCCGCGGTTTCAGCATCCATTAATCTATGCAGCGGAGTGGCCATTGATATGTGGGGGTCGGAATTTGATTCCTGCCGCAATTCTGCGGCTATGCGCTGTATTTTTTTTTCTGGCAGGTGGCTCGATCGCCAAATAACTTCAGTCTGATAACTCGGGAATAAAGAGGCCCTGCCGCACCAACTCTCAAACATTGCCAGTGTGTCATGCAGTTGCCTAGGATTGTCGATCTGTTACAACGATTTTCTACCAGCCTGGCATCGGTGTTTTCATACGCCACTTTGTGGAGCACATGCGCTTTAGCTCGCCTGATGACAGTTCAGGAATAAACGGATATTGAGTTATTTGGTGAATGACATGTCACAGACATCGGAGGAGAAAACCTAGCCGTGGTTGAGACAGCAGAAGTGGAGTAATGTCGCCGGTATGCCCCGCGCACTTCCCTTGCGCTGTGCTTGACTTCGGCCGCTTATAAATACGGGTTTTGATCTCCACTTTACGAGCGTTTGTTTTTTCTTCTCGCCTTGGCCATGCGTGAGGGACCCGGGGCGATAGCTAACTACCTCAGAGTGCCGAAGTAAGGGAATGTTCCACGTGTGAAGATTTTGAGGCAGGTACCAGATGTAATGGAATAAGCTGACATGTAACTTTTGAGATCCTCTGAAGTGGAAAAAACTCAACAAACTCGACTAGAAAAACTAGACAACTCAACTACGACTAAACTACTGAACAACTAAAAAACTAAACTAAACAACTAAAAAACCTGGACAACACAACTTTTCTGTTTAGTAAAAAGGTCTGTTAATACGCCATTGCTTGATTGCGTCGTCGCACCTTGCAGTGCTGATTGAGAGCCAGTTGACGGTTGTCATATTTGGAAAGCGTGCTCACGAGCGGCGCAAAGAGGATATGAACATTATGCGTTTCAACGCATATGAACGTCATATATGAACGACTCGACCATTATATTGTCTTGGCCTTGATCGCTGCATGACTAATGAAGTGGCAGGATTTGAATGACGCTATTAGGACCTTGGGGGACCTTGAAATAGTCTCCCCAAAATAGTCTGTACATATTCGCGGGTGATTACCTCAGAAATTAGTGCGGCTTTATGTCTTAAGAGCGGCAGGGCTGTGAACTGCGACGAACAATCTTTAAGATGGCTATTCCAATTAAAAAAACGATACAAATGTCGGAACACTCCGTTTAAAGAAAAACAGTGAATACAACCTTTGAAGTGCACTTTCTGCGGGAAATAAATGCCAATCATGTTGTAGCAAAATGCAACCTTCAGTACTTCCACAAGAAGTCAAAGAGCATGAGTCATCGATATCAGATACTTTTTATATCAGATATCAGAAATATCAGAAATAAAAGATATCAGAAAAAAGAAAAAGTTTCACTGCCGTGTTCAAAGCCGGGAAGTAGCTGTTACCAAGGCCCTATGACACCGTGATTACGGGAAAACCCTTTTGTGGCCTGGAGGCCCCTCGTAGAGTAAGGGTCAATATGAGCACCACTGCTTCTATGGCCTTGATAAGTACAATTACGCTACCGCAAGTGTGCTCACAAGTTCTCTTTTGGAATGTTTTTCTCGCTTCCATTGCCCCGTCAGCCATTGCAAAGTCGTTGCGGCCCCATCAGGGCTGAATTTGCGCACTAGCGTATCTTGATATTGCGCAGTAGCAGCCAAAATAACGGAGATTTGTTAAAGCCACATGCAGTTCATATCATAGCTGGGTACAAGATGGCTTAAACATCGTGCGGTGCCTGACAGTTCAAACCTAGTAACTTTTGTGCTATTTTAGTACTGTCGTGTTCTTTCATGTTGCCATGGTAACGTCGGACGCCATTGCCGTCAGTTGATAATTGGGTTGTCAGGAACGGCTGGCTTGAGGATTCAGCGATATCGTGCAGGATTTTTTGTGTTGTGAGGGCGGGGAATTTCGGTATTCTAGGATACGGGATACTATTCAAAACTTTCGACTCATACACTATGCTTTAAACCTTTTACATCGAATAAAAAAAGGCGTATAGCCTGAGATCCTACACTGAAAACGACCTTCCCGATACGGTAAGCTGCACTCTGGAGGTGGATGGTTGTGTATGTGCTTGAGTGCGTAGATTTGTAGTAAGCCGACCGCTGTCACGGGAATATTGTGTGGGGACAACCTACACACACAACTTTTCGGCTTGGGACTACGATTATGGATTAATGCATGCCGTTTCAGTAAGGGTGATCGAGGTGCGCCGGTCACTAAAGTTTGTCTCGTCTTAACTCTATTTGGAAACGTAATAATTTAGCCCTTTTACCATGAAATTATGCTTATTTTAACGAGTGATGACATGAAATACGTAGATAAGTGGAAACCAGCCCATTTTGTCCTAACTTTTAAACTTGCCTGGGTATTTTAGGACATTCAGGCCCAAAGTAGCTTTCGATAGCCTGGAAACGCCTGGTCCCAACCAGTAATGTCCCGTGGTAGGCACGCGGCTCGTACCAGGCAGGGTCCTTGGCAAGGACCGGACTGCCGCACGCGGCCCGCATTGGCGTTTCCAACATCAAATCCCGTGGGCCCGACTCAGATGCCGTCGGTTCGTTCCCACGATACCTTCCGGTCTGTCACGGCCCAATCGCAGCTGGGCTGTGCGCTCACCCCGCTCCGGCATGGCGAGGGCCGGCGTGATCTGGTTCAGCGCCGCCACGACTCGCACTGGGCGGGGAGGCGGACCCCTGTATGGCTCCGCTTGGTCTCTTGCATTGCCAGGTTAGCCGGACCACTCGTGGTCCACGCAGGTTCGCTCGTGGGCGGCGAGGGCCAGCACCAATGCGCTATTCGATGCACGCCCATGTGACCCTGGCCCGGCGGTACCGCCACCATGAAGGCTCTTGAAGACGAATGGCAAATGTAGAGGCTTCTCTACACAAACGATGTGTCATAGATGACTGATAATCGTCCTCTGCCACCATTCGTCAAACGCGAATAGCCCGGTGATTCAACTGCACAGCCATTTCAGAACACAAACAATGGCGCTACCATTCATCCCAGGATACTCAGAAATCGGAAAGGTGCGTAAACCATATCTCTCACTGCTTTGCTCGATATCATGTTTGTATAACTGGGAACATAGCCGTTTGAATCTCCGAGGCCGAGTAAAGGGGCGTGTCTCGTGTTAATGTGTGAGACAGGGTGATTTATGGATTTTGCACGCCATGATATGCATACCTGCGGTCATAAAGCGTAGACACATTTGGCTTGTTAATGAGCCCCTGTTTTGCGGAATTTGTGTAAATGAGACGTTGATAGTAAGATGGAATGGTATGCGTAACGATAAGATTCCTCCGCATTTCCTGAATAGCTACATAGCCGGTGGTGATGCGTGTATTTTGCATCCATACAGAAGATGCATTCCCTCAAGCCCGGATACCATCTGCCTCACCGGTTTGATTTCAAGTTGGATCAGAGGTTTTACATTGATCAGGTGGGTATGGTGAGGCCGTTTTCCACGGAAAGAGGATCGGTCCCGCTTAAAATAATCAACTCAAGACGTCCACGCGCTGGTGCTTGCGTGCGTGCACCAACCCGCACGTTTCCCTCCGCTTTAAACGGTTTCGACAAAAACTGTGATCTTGGGATCTCGGTGGCATTGAAATCGCTAGAACTACGTGTGCTTTTTAACGTTGTGCGCTCACTATGAATCAGGCGCGAGTAATGTTTTGTTCGTCACACAAAACATGCAAAAAATGTACGTCAAGGTGCATGCGTGGTTGTCATGCAAGCATTGGTTTGCAAGTTTTACTCCACACTCATGCTTTGATAACGCTATGAGTTCATGCCGTTTGGGAAGGCCCCGTGTGAGTATTTTGATCTGTGTCTTGATTTCCGTACGGTTTTGACATGCTCGACAATCATTTTAAGACAGTTGTTCGATGCGTAAGCACTGTTACCTGATAGTACAACAGGGTGCATCAATTCAGCAGCGGGTGTCGCAGCGTCGCATTGGAGCGTGCTACATCTGACATTAAATTCCAAAGCCAGCACCGTGCGCCGTTTGACCTCGTCCCGCTTCACTCTTCTTTTCTCCCGTTCCGTCTTCCACAGCTCGCTGACCCCTCCCCAGTCTCGGCCCCTTACGCCTTACACCACTCGCCGATCCCCCCTGGCCTCGTCCCGCACCGGCTGACCTCCTCCACCCCTGCTGACCTCCGCCCTTGCTGACCTCCACCTCTGCTGACCTCCACCTCTGTTGACCTCCGCCCCGGTGCTGCCGAAAGGAGATCGCCAGCCGGGACCTGCCACGGCCTGGCTGGACCAAGCGCATCCCGCGTCACAGCTTCTATCCTCGCACGGCCGGGCCCGGCCTGCCCGCCTGGGTCGCCTTCGACAAACAGGTGACGCCGCGGCAAGGCCTGCGGTGGGAAGGAAGGGCCGGACTAGCCGGTGAGCCTGCCAAGCTCACGGTGAGCTGGGGCTCGGTCGGTGCGGTCGACGGGGCCTACCTGCGAACTACTACGAGCTCTGAGCTGCGGCTATCGACCGGTTGGTACGGTGGGTCAGCTGGCTCATTAGTCAATGACGCCGTCGACCAGATGTAGCACGGATGGGGAGTCATCAATAATCGTAAACCGGGGACCAAAGTCATCCATTAACAACAGAAGGGAGCGTCAAAGCGTGGGATGACCATCTTTTGGAATGTGCGACCTTACACGCTTCCCCTAAACTGTACGTCGATAAGACAGGCAGGCGTGAGCGGACTCAAATGATCTGTCTGCGATCCCACGTCTTTCGAATAGTCGAGACTGGCTGTTGGACGGCTTATCGCATGCCAGTTGCCGGCGGCGCTCAGTACTGACGGCGTCGCGACCGGGCAGGTGCTGCGCTTCCGCGGCTACTACATCGACCGCGTGCAGAACTCGCAGGTCGAACGAAGCCGCGTGCGCACCGTCAAGATCCACTTCTACCTGGAGGACGACACCATCGAGGTGATCGAGTCCAAGTGGAAGAACAGCCAGCTGCCGCAGGGTGAGGGGGTCAGCAGGGTGCGGGCTTGAGCGTTCAGGTCGATTGGCTCAGCAGCGACGACTCAGAGCGGCGATTTCAAATACCCATTTCGGCCAACTTTGGCCAATGTGGGCACCTGGCTTGCAACACTACGACACGTGGACGAGGGCTGGATTCAGTGCAGCATCTGCCGTTGTCCCGTAGTGTTTGCGGTCGCGGCGCCCCGCGTCGTCAGAGACGAACCCTTGGCCAACGCCGTGTTGCAGGCACGCTGCTGCACCGCCATCGGGTGCCGCTGCCGGAGCCGGACGACTTCGAGTTCTACACGATCGAGCACCTGAACGTGGGCCGTGACCTGGTGCTGTACGGCACCACCTACCACGTCACCTCTTGCGACCAATTCACGCGCAACTTCCTCGCCAAGCTGGGTGTGCGCGTCAACCCGGACACGTGCATTCCCAGCGATGCCTACATGGAGACGAGGAACGACGTGAGTTGCGGCGCGGCGTGTGTGGGGCGCGGGTGGGTTGGGGCGGAGACGACTGCCGGCCCGCTCTTCACGTTCGGGTGATGGCTTTGCCAGCTTTGGCATGTGCCAGCTGTAAGCTGCAGAGGATCCATCGCCGATTCTGCCGTCGACTGATTGCCCTTCCCTACGGCCAGGTACTCCATAGTCGTCGCGGCATATCCGCCACTAACCCCGTCGACCCCGTACTATTTGGCTGACTGCCCTACCCTACGGCCACGTTCTCCCATAGTCGTCGCGGCATGTCCGCCACTAACCCCGTCGACCCCGTCCTATTCGGCTGACTGCCCTACCCTACGGCCAGGTACTCCCATAGTGGTCGCGGCATGTCCGCCACTAACCCCGTCGACCCCGTTCTATCCGGCTGACTGCCCGTCCCTACGGCCAGGTACTCCCATAGTCGTCGCGGCATGTCCGCCACTAACCCCGTCGACCCCGTCCTATTCGGCTGACTGCCCTTCCCTGCGGCCAGGTACTCCCATATTCGTCGCGGCATGTCCGCCACTAAACCCCGTCGACCCCGTCCTATTCGGCAGGCTGGTCGCTTCCCGCGGTCCTCCTAGCAAGCGTCATGGGCTCCACCTATGCATGGCCGAGGTTCAGTGCGGTTTCCAAACGCGTTACAGACAACACCTTGCCACAGCTCGTCAGTTCCAGTTGAGCTGTCTTTCAAGCGCCACAGTTCACATACATGGTAGGAGGCGCATCTGAAGGCGGCACAGCGCTGGCACGTGCCTCAGTCGGCCATGCGTTGTCCGAGGCCGTGCCTGTCGTGCCTCACGCTTGCCCCCCCCCCCCCCCCCCGGCCTGCAGCATGAGCGCTCCATGCGACCGCTGAAGCCGTACAAGAAGGTGGACACGCTCGGTCAGTTCCTGCACTACGACGGCAAGGTGCTGCGCTTCTGGGGCTACTGGGACGACCGGGAGGTGCAGCACGGCGACCTGCGCGACATCGTGCTGCTCTACTACCTGGCCGACGACACGATCGAGGTCAAGGAGCTGGTGCCGCCCAACGCCGGCCGCTACAAGGCGCCCAGTCTGTTGCGCCGCGCCCGCCTGCCGAAGGTACGGCACTGGCTCGCTGGAGACGGGGCGGGCGAGGTGGGAGACACTCTGGAGGTGGAGTGGCAGGAGTTTGGCGAGAGCTGAGCTGTGGCCACTGGATCATGGTTGGCGTCCGGTGACTGGCTGCAAGTGGGGCGGGCAGATGTATGCATTTTGTCTGCTTTCTTTTTTGCTCCTTTATTCTCTCTCGTTTTATTTCTTTTCCTTTTGTTTTGCTTTCTGTTTTTCCCACTCCTTCTGTTTCCCGATTGTTTTCTCCATTCTCCTTGATTTCGTTACGTCTTCTCCTTTCGTTTCTTGTTCTTTCCTTCTTGATTTGGTTCTGCTTTCTCTGTCTTTTCACCTGGACCGTAACGAACTATAGCTAAGCCTGATTTAGAGCAGGGTTTCGTAGCGTGCGCCCCATGTGGTTTTCGCACTGGGGTGTTGAGTTTGTCTGCACGCATCGGCACGTCACGTGAAGCCCTGTTGTAAACCCAAACTGTTCTGTCGAATGCTGTTTAACACGCGCTGAGGGGCTTGACTCCCCCCCCCCCCCCCCCGGAAGTTTTGCCAGAATAGCCCGCGAATGGTGCGGGGTAGCTGAACCAAACTTTGTTTAGTATGGGCAGTTGAATAGTCCATCTTTTGGTATGCAAAATCAGCTATACTTTGTAAGGTTTCTGGCCAGTTGCAGGTCATAGTCAGGTCATGGTTGTTAGTGAAGGCATTTCCAAGGGAATCGTTCAATCTGATGCGACAGCGAAGTGTGAGACGAGACCATGCACCTTTAAGATAGTTTCTCTAACAGTAAGATGAATGAATTTTGGATAGTACCTCATTCTCGTTGCGTCTGGCGTGGAGGCCAAGCTGTGATTAAAACCAAGTTGTTTCTGTGCTGCAGAACCTGTTTTATGAGGTAGTTTATGACACTCATCTTGAATTTCTTGAGGAAGGGGATTGCAAGAGACATTCCATTTGATGTTGATAAAGACGAGAGGACGTTACTAACCTAAAATGACAACGGTCAGTCTTTCGTTTTTGAACAAAGAACGTAGGCCTAGTGTAATCCTGGACGCAAGTTGAGTTAAAAAACAAAACAAAACAATCTCGAAGGTTGTTGGCCACCGTGAACTTAGGTGGCCAACAAGGTCAAACAAACCCCCCTTAGGTCAAACAAACTCACTGATTAAATATGGTTGCATAAAGTCTGAGAGCGCTTTTTATCACCACTCTTTTATCGCCACTCTCGTCACGCGTTGGTCCTGCCCTGTTCCAGCAACTGAAGGCACTGCCCCGTCCGGGAGTCGAGTGTCCGAGGACTGTGCTCAACACGTTCGGCGACATCTACGGCAAGGGCATGGGCCGCCTCTTCATCTACGACAACCTCAACAACAACTACCACCCGTCCGACTTTTATCAGTCAGTGGTCTGACTTTGCCGTCACACTATTGTGACATCCTCTGGCTGTCATTTGGGCGCTACTCACGATCGGGAAACGACAAATCACGTCCAGGGATGACGCTGTGGTTTAGAGAATGAGGCTCTTAGTATTTGTGTTCAACGTGGTCTGTCTGTGTATGTGTGTGTGTGTCATAAGGAGGTCCACGGAACTCATTATGACACCACACACGCGAAATGGTGGTTAGTGTGGCTGCTGCGACTTGCAGGAACATAGTGGTCGTATTATTGATTAATATTCTCGGATGACCGCTTTCTCATGGTTCCCGCACGATTCGGAAGGCAGCGTGTCTAGACAAACCAAACCAAAACTCCAGGAGCCGACCGTGACTGGCGTCAATGTTCGGAGGTCTTGTGCGTGACCCGCGGACGCTCCATTTCCGCCCGCCCGTCCCGCAGTGACTCGGAGCTGTGCATCGGTGCCCACGTGAACGTCTGGGGCCGGGAAATGGTGCTGACCGACTGCGACACCGTTCACCCCGCGACTACTACAGGATCAAGTACCAGAAAGGTAGCCGACTTGGCCGCGCCGTCCCGTGCGTCCACCTGCGCGTTAAGCATGTGGTGCTGTCCATGGCCGGGTCGGACGGCCAGCCGAGTCGTGTCGGTCGGCTGCGGGCCTCCGCGTGGGCACGTCTTTACCGACGGCCGGAGGCTGGCGCACGCGTGGCTGCGTGCGTCCGCGCCGGTACCGAGACCCGTCACGCTGTTCTGAAAGTAGCCAACGCCCGTGGTGGCGTCCACAGAGCTGGGCGAGGGTCGGCCGTACCGGCCGCCGCCCAAGCCGGACCCGCCGCGCCAGGTGCCGCCCTATCTTGGCTTCGGCAGCGAGGAGGACACGCTCACCTCCGTCTTCAACCTCATACCGCAGGCGCCCAAGAAGGACTTCAACAAGTTCATGGTCAACGACAGGTCGGCACAGGGTGGGCGTTGTTGGGATGGAGGCGCCAGAAACACCGCGGCCAAGCCATACTGTCCGAAGTGCGGTGGCACAGCTGAGCTCAGCTGGGCATCATTGTCCATGGAGCTTGGCTCAGGGCAGGCCCCTTGCTTTGATTTTGCTGGTCTGGTGCATGCGCTGGGTGTATGCTAAGACATCTCAAAGCCTTACCGCAGTTGAAGCACTGGAAAAACAAGATTCAAGATCTGAGTGCGCATGTTTTGCTTGCTCCTGCGATGTGTGTGTATGAGTCCAGACAAAGTGGTAGCTGTGGCGTAAGGCGCGACTTGAGCCTGCGCGCGCTCTGCTGGCAGGAACGGCCTAGACGGCCATGTGCTGCGCTTCTCGGCTCAGATGGTGACCACCAGCAAGATCGACGCCACCAGGAAGTTCATCCTGTGCTTCTTCCTCAGCGACGACACCCTCTCCATATACGAGGTGCCCATACCCAACAGCGGTGAGTCATCGGCTGGGTCGTCCGAGTGCTGCGCTCGAGCCGAGTCAGGGCAGCGAGTGTCCATCGCAGACTGATAGGCCGCTGAGCTCGAGCCGAGTCGGGGCAGCGAGTGTCCATCGCAGACTGATAGGCCGCTGAGCTCGAGCCGAGTCAGAGCAGCGACTGTCCATCGCGGACTGATAGGCCGCTGAGCTCGAGCCGAGTCAGGGCAGCGACTGTCCATCGCAGACTGATAGGCCGCTGAGCTCGAGCCGAGTCAGGGCAGCGACTGTCCATCGCGGACTGATAGGCCGCTGAGCTCGAGCCGAGTCGGGGCAGCGACAGTCCATCGCGGACTGATAGGCCGCTGTCCCGCCATCCTCGGCTTGTCGCGCCGAACCTCCGCCACTAATGGCGTGAAGCTTTAGGCTCAAGCGTTTGACCGGAAGCCTGCCTGCGACCACTGACAGTAAGACGTGCTACCGACATACAGGCCTTGGACACTTTAGCGACGTGAGTGGCGTCGCAGTATGACGGTGGACAGCGCTCCAAACCCGCATCCTTCTGTTCTCCGTTCTCGGTGTCCCGGTCTCCTCCAGGGCGTCGCGACAGCTGTGTACCCTGTCCGAGCCGACGTTGACTGCTGGGCGCCGCCCCATTCAGTAACTTTTCAACGCAAGAGGAGAAATACTAGACATCTTACTCCGCGATTGGCCGAGGGGTGACGCATGCGGCTTCAGAAAAAAATGGCTCACGGAGACGACATTCGCTGTGGCCTGAGCACAGCACTCGGGTGGCACGTCCGTACTTGCTGTGTTTGTGATTAGAATAGGTGACGTCCCAGCGACGCCGGTCTGAAAATGGCGATTTCCCCGGCGACCGGAGCCTCGCAAAATCGGCGTCGTTCCGGCGTCGCAAACGCCACCAGCTAGCCACCGGTGCGTGACGTCCCAGTTCATGCAGATTAAAGGCACGTCTTTCTCCGTGACGACACACGTCGCCGTCACGCGGTCTCGGCCGCACTCGGCTGACCCCGCCGCGCGGCCGTCGTGCCGGGCAGGGATCGCCGGAGGCCAGTTCCTGGAGCGGGGCCCGGTGCGGCGCGACCCGGAGTGCCGCCGTGCCTGTCCGATCCTGCCTGACTGCTACGTCTCCGAGGACCTGTTCGTCGGCGCCCAGCTCACCATTAACAAGTTCAAGTTCCGGCTAGTGGCCGCCGACGAGTACACGCTGCGCTACACAGACAAGCGGCCAGCGCAGGTGAGCAGTGCTGACACCCGAGGTAGCTACACAGACAAGCGGCCAGCGCAGGTGAGCAGTGCTGACGCCTGAGGGAGCTACACAGACAAGCGGCCAGCGCAGGTGAGCAGTGCTGACACCCGAGGCAGCTACACAGACAAGCGGCCAGCGCAGGTGAGCAGTGCTGACGCCTGAGGGAGCTACACGGACAGGCGGCCAGCGCAGGTGAGCAGTGCTGACGCCTGAGGGAGCTACACGGACAGGCGGCCAGCGCAGGTGAGCAGTGCTGACACCCGAGGCAGCTACACAGACAAGCGGCCAGCGCAGGTGAGCAGTGCTGACACCCGAGGCAGCTACACAGACAAGCGGCCAGCGCAGGTGAGCAGTGCTGACGCCTGAGGGAGCTACACAGACAAGCGGCCAGCGCAGGTGATCAGTGCTGACGCCTGAGGGAGATACACGGACAGGCGGTCAGAACGGGTGAGTAGTGTGGACGCCTGGGAGAGCTACACGGACAGGCGGTCAGAACAGGTGAGTAGTGTGGACGCCTGGGAGAGCTACACGGACAAGCCGCTTGTCCGCGTAGCTCTCCCGGGCGTCAGCTGGCCGTTGCGGCCAGCGCAGATTAGCAGTGCTGACGCCCGGGGGAGCTACACGGACGAGCGGTCAGCGCAGGTAAGTAGTACTGACGCCCGGGGGAGCTACACGGACGAGCGGCCAGCGCAGGTAAGCGGTGCTGACACCCGAGGGAGTTACACGGACAAGCGGCCAGAGCAGGTGAGCAGCGCTGATGCCCGAAGGACGTGAGCGCTTCACGGCCAGGCGGCCAGCGCAGGGTTCGAAGGGTTCCAGTGGCTCGATTACGACTAGCACAGAGCGACCGAAGTGAGGTTTGTGGCCGTTGGTAAAAATTGCGGACCCATTAGCGAAAGTCGTGTAAGCGGCTTATGCCCGATAGAATGTGTCGGCGAAAAGACGCTGCGACGGCCTTGGAGCGGCGGCAGCGGACCTCAGGCAGTGTGGCAGGCAGTGGCAGTGTGACGTCCGACTGGATGCTTTGGCCAGAGGTTGCGCTGCGTGCCGTCTCCAGCGAGAGTGCTCGGTAAACTGACCGTGGGTCCGCGCTGTCGCGTCGGCTGATGGCTGTGCTAGCGGCGCTCAGCACTCCGCTGACCGGCGGCGGCCGCCGCCGGTGGCGATCGGCGGCAGTCAGACATCCGACCGATCTGTGGCTGGTATGTGCAGTACGAGAAGGCGAACCCAGACCAGATCATCCGCAAGCTGCGCGGGCACATACCGAGGGACGCGCAGCGCCAGATGCACAAGGACTTCAACGGCGGCTACCGCATTCGCGACCACGTCTGCAGCTATGACGAGATGGTCTCGCTGCTCAAGAAATACGCAGGTGAGGCTTCTGCTATTGGTGAGCTCCCCTGTGGCGTCGACGGCAAGCCCTTGCATGCTTACAGTGCCAGTCTCCAGTGTGGATAGATCAGCGGTGGTATAGACCTCGTAATTGGGACCGCTGTGAGGGTGGGTGCGGCCCCTGTGCGTACTGCATACGTCTTGGTGTTGCGAACGCCCCTTACCAAGGTGGCGTGTGGGGCTTCAAATATGGCACGGCGCTGCCGCTTCCGACAACGGGAAGGTGCATGCCATGCTGTGTGTGTGTGTGTGACAGGGGTGCCACTTTCTGAGATCGGTTGGGGGCTGAGCCAATAAAGGTCACCTGGCGTATCCCAAATCCTGGGTTTGCCCCGGAGCTCCGTCACTCGTGGTTTGCGGCGCTGATGTCATCATTGAATTCAACAGACATTGGTGAGTTCAGTGTTGTTAACGTTGTGCGGAGCGATCCCCCGTTTCAAGTCGGTATGATAGCGATGATGATGATATATGATGATAATATTAATAGCGGTGCGTTTAGGTATCTAGTGTACCACTAATTCAGGTACTAGTGCGATTCAGTTATCCAGTGGTCCCTTTTCTGCTCATGCACTTTGGGG